TTTTTTTTAATTTGTGTTTTAGTTTGGATATTTTTCATTGGCCTAGCTTCAAATCTGCTGCATTTGCCTTTGGCTTTATTGAATCTACTGATGATTCTGCCTAAGAAATTTTTCATCTGTGATTTTATATTTTTTATTTGTAGCTCTTCCATTTGACTCAGTTTTCATTTCTATTGAAATTTCTATTAACACATTTTATCTTTTTACCTTTCTAGGTTTTTTTTTTAAATATTAGTCAAAGTTATAGTTATTTAAAATTCCTGTCTGGTAGTTCCAACAAGTGGGGCATCTCTGGTCTATTCCTGTTTATGATAATTCTGTTTTTCTTTTCATTTGTCATTTTTTTCTGTTGGGTGCCAAATATTGTATGCAGATTAGTAGATACTGAGATAAATAGTATTTACACCTTGAAATGAGCACCTTTTTCTATTATTTGTTCTTTATTGTGGGATTTGCATTACTTAGGAATTGAGGAGAGTTTGGGTTTTGTTTTTGCTGTGGTTACCTTCAGTGCCTCACAGGCTTCAGATTTCTCTAAAGATGCTCTGTGCTTATTGTGGGACCATCATGCCAGAGACACTTTCTTATGTAATAGTTCTACGCCTGTTTTCCTGTGCTTCAGCACACTTGTGCTTTAAGAGGGTGCCCCTCTCCATTCTCTTGCCCTACTTCCAGCCGTAGAATACTGTGTTTTGTTTCTCAGTTCAAGGGACGAGATGCAGGGTAGTTCTCTGTTTTTCTTTCTTTTTTTGGTGGGGGGAGGACGGGGTTTCCCCACGTTGGTCAGGCTGGCCTCTAACTCCTGACCTCAGGTAATCTACCTGCCTCGGCCTCCCAAAGTGCTGGGATTACAGGTGTGAGCCACCACGCCCAGCCAGTTCTCTCTTTTTCTAGTCCAGCAGCAATCTTAGGTAGGCCCTATGTGCCTGGCCTTGAGGGTGGGTCATTCTCAGAATTTTGGCTCCTCCTGTTCATGGCAGCCTTGTATCTGTGGCTGGTCTTTTGTGGAAGACAGTTTTCTCCCTCACTCTGAGAAAGGACTGTTGTTTGCCCCTCTCCCAGTTGTAGAGGGTTTTTTCTTTTACTCATCTTTCAGCAAGGATGGATGTGTATTTGTGTCCTTGGGTCAACAGGGTTGATTCTCCTTCTGCAGCAGCTTAAGTCCTTTGCTCTATGGGAGAGAAGAGTTTGGGAAGGACGGTAGAACTTCTTGCTTTCCTTCAGTGGTGATCAGTCCCCTCCTCTGTGACTTAGGCTCTTTAGTCTTTTGCCCTCTTGCAATCTTTATGTGCAAAGTGAGGGCCCTTGCAAAAGAGTCTGAGAGTCAATGTGAATTCACTTTGTGTTTGGGGCTCTCAGTGTTTCTGTACTATTATGCTGGCATGCATTTGGTCTTTGACAAATTATTAAAGTTATACTTCGTTTCTTTTTATGTTTTTATTTGTTCTGTGTTCCTTCCTCCTATGCCCTACTACAGTTGGGACAATCTGTAATCTTTTTTTCTTCTCAGAATGGGGGCTGCCCCATTCTTGGATTACAGTCTGTCTGGTAGGAGTTTGTAGTTTATCCAGCTTTTTCTTGTTGTTTGGATGGAGGTGATTTTTTTAAATTTTAAGTTCTGGGGTACATGTGTAGGACATGCAGGTTTGTGACATAGGTAAATGTGTGCCGTGGTGGTTTGCTGCACCTATCAACTTATCACCTAGGTATTAAACCAAATGCTGTCCCCCTCCACTCCATCCCCCCAAAAGGCCCCAGTGTGTGATGTTCCCCTCCCTGTGTCCATGTGTTATCATTGTTTAGCTCCCACTTATAAGGGAGAACAGGTGGTGTTTGGTTTTCTGTTCCTGTGTTAGTTTGCTGAGGATAATGGCTTCCAGCTCCATTCAAGTCCCTGCAAAGGACATTATCTCAATTTCTTTTTATGGCTGGATAGTACGCCACGTGTTTACACTGTTGGTGGAAATGTAAATTAGTTCAACCATTGTGGAAGACAGTGTGGTGAGTCCTCAAAGATCTAGAACCAGAAATACCATTTGACCCAGCAATCCCATTACTGGATATATACCCAAAGGAATATAAATCATTCTGTGACACAGATAAATGCACATATATGTTCACGTGCAGCACTATTCACAATATCAAAGACGTGGAATCAACCCAAAGGCTCATCAATGATAGACTGAATAAAGAAAATGTGGCATATATATACTATGGAATACTGTGGAGGTGATTTTTCCCCCAATTTTTTAAAAGCTTTTCCAACTTTTTTTTAGATTGCTTTGAAATTCCTTAATATTCATTATCTCATCAGATATTCCTGTGAATATGCTTAAATTGATCATCTTTCACTGTTTGATCTAATAGTGTAACTTTACTGGTGTCAGTAATGATATATTAATCAGTGCTAGTTGAACTCCTTTGGTAAAGTTTGCCTTCTTTGGTAAACTAGCACTGATTCATATCTTATTTCTAACACAATATGGCACCAGTCACTGATTTGAAGAGAGCAACACGTCACCAGTTCTCTGAAGATGCCCCACTGCTCTGACATCTTGGAGGTGCAGAAGAGAACAATAGTTATTGCTACTGGAAGAGTGGCAGGATCACTTAAAAATGTGTTGAGTATGAAATTCATGAAGTTCATTAGTGCAACGTCATATATCTTACTTGATGTGATTTTGAGCTTTCAGTCCATCAGTGAAATATATGATTAGCACTTTACATATTAAGAATGTCTACTCTTTATAAACAGGAAACTGCATGAGAAAGTG